ATACAACGAGACATGCAGTGAGACATTCAGAGAGACATGCAGAGAGACATGCAGAGAGCCATACAGTTAGACATACAGTGCACATGTAGGTCTGCTGACAAACCTCACTGCTCAGTGTCCATTTCTTAAAAAGCAGTTGTGGACAATTTCAGCCTTATTATTGAGAGGTTTGATCCCACCAGAGCTGAATGTTCTCCAACATCTTGCAGAAATTAAAACACCATGACCTGCTCAGTGTGGCCTGTTTAGCCTGTATCAAGCAACTCCAGAACCAAGCTGAAACAGACTGCAGCCTGTCCTGAGAATTGCTTCTGTAGGTGAGTCAATACCAGCTGCCCCGCAAACGACATGGGGTCATGAGCTGATGTTGCCAGAACAGAACGAGGTGATTTCTACAGGAACCTTCTGATTCAGGCTGAGGTTAGAGAAGGTCTGTTAAATCCCACTTTACCACAGCTAAATATAGCAGACCAGTAGTTATGAGCTAAAGTTTGCAAAACAGTGTCTGAAGCTGAAAATGAAGCAAGTACGCCAAGTAGATTTGAAGTAGCTCAATATTTCTTAAGGATGTGATGTGGTCTCCATTTATGTGGAAGAGGATTAGAGAAACGGTAAAAATAATAATTTTGTGGGAGAGTGGTTGCGCAGAGGTTAGAGAGGTGGACCTGCGATCAGAAGATCGCCGGTTCACGCCCCGGTACCGACAACATCATAACTGTGGGTGGGGTAGGTGAAGCACCCACACTTGCCCCCACCCTCATTCACCCCACTCTGGGCCCCTGAGCAAGGCCCTTAACCCCCATCATCTGCTCCCTAAACAGGTCTCTCTTGAAAATGAGTTCTCGTGGCTCAATGAGACTACCTGGATAAATAAAGGGTAAAAAAAATAAATAATAATAATTATCTGAATTCTGAGATTAAAGTCAGAATTTAAAAAAACATGCAGTACATTTTTACCAATGTGGTCCTAATCCATTCAGTGGCCATCCATTCATCCATTATCTTCCACTTGTTTTGGACTCAGGTCTCGGGGGCAGCAGCTTGAGCAGGGAGGTCCAGACATCTCTGTCCACAGCCTCTTCCAGCTCTTCTTAGAGGACTCCAAGGTGTTCCCATGCCAGCTGAGAGACGTAGTCTCTCCATTGTGTCCTTGGTCTTCCCTGGTGTCTCCTCCCAGTCTGACATGCCCGAAGCACCTCCCTAGGGAGGAACCCAGGGAGCAGCCTTACCAGATGCCCAAACCACCTCAAATGGCTCCTCTTGATGTGGAGGAGCAACAGTTCTACTCCAAGTCTCTCCTGGAGAACTTATCTCCTTGCCCTATCTCCAAATCTCAGACCATGGTCCTCAGTCAGAAAAGGGTGGATTGCTCTCTTCAAGTTGAGGGTGAGGTTCTGCCTCAAGTGGAGGAGTTCAAGTATCTCTGGGTCTTGCTCACAAGTGAGGGAAGAAATGAGCGTGAGAATGACAGATGGATTGGTGCAGTGTACGCAGTATTGTAGACTCTGCACCAGTTCGTTGTGGTGAAGAGGGAGCTGAGCTGTGAGACAAAGCTCTCTGTTTACCAGTCAGTATATATTCCTACCCTCACCTATGGTCATAAACTCTGGGTAGTGACTGAAAATATGAGATTGTGGAGAAAAGCGGTTGAAATGAGTTTCCTCTGCAGGGTAGTTGGACTCTTCTTAGAGGTGCTGATTCTCATCCCGGCCGCTTCACACTTGGCTGTGAACTGTTTCAGTGAGAGCTGAAGATCAAGGCACGATGACGCCAACAGGATCACATCATCTGCAAAGAGCAGAGATGAATCCTGAGACCACCAAACATGACTCCTTCTGCCCCCTGACTACACCCAGAAATTCTGTCCATAAACGTTATGAACAGAATCTGTGACAATGGGCAGCCCTGGTGGAGTTCCATTCTCACCCTGAAGGGGTCCGACTTACTACCGGCAATGTGACCCAAACTCTTGCACCACTTGTATAGAGATTGAACAGCCGTAACAACGGACCCCCAATCCAATACTCATGGAGCACCCCCCCCACAGTGCATGTTCAGGAACATGTTGAAAGCCTTCTTCAAGTCCACAAAACACATGTAGACTGGATGGGCATACTCCCATGACCCCTCGAGGACCCTAGTGAGGATAAAGAGTGATCCAGTGTTCCATGGTCAGGACGGAACCCACGTTATTCCTCCTGGATCTGAGGTTCGACCAACGATCTGACTCGTTTCTCCAGTACCCCTGAATAGCCCTTTCCAGTGAGGCTAAGGAGAGTGATGCCCCTGTAATTAGAACACACCCTCTGAGCCCGGTCCCCCTTTTTGAAGAGGGGAACCACCACCCCAGTCTGCCAATCCAGTGGCACTGCCCCCAATGTCCATGCAATGTTGCAAAGGCGTGTCAACCAAGACAGCCCCACAATATCCAGAGCCTTAAGGAAATCAGGGTGAATCTCATCCACCGCCGGAGCCCTGCTGCCACGGAGCTTTTTAACTACCTCAACAACCTCAACCATGGTTATGGACAGACCAACCCCAAAGTCTCCTACCTCTGCTTCCTCCATGGAAGATGTGCCGGTGGGATTGAGAAGGTCTGAGAAGTATTCCTTCCACCTATTGATGACATCACTGGTTGAGGTCAACAGCATCCCACCCTCACTGAACACAGGGTTAGTAAAGTGCTGCTCTCCCCTTCTCAGCTGCCTGATGGTTTGCCAGAATCTCCTCGGAGCCGACCGAGTCTCTATCCAAGGTCTCACCGAACTCCTCCCACATCCGAGCTTTTATCTCAGCAACAGCCAAGGCTGCGGACTGCTTGGACATCCGGTACTCCTCAGCTGCCTCTGGAGTCCCACCAGCCAACAAGGCCCGATAGCACTCTTTCTTCAGCTTGACAGCCTCCCTAAATAAAGTAAATAAAGTAATTTATTTAAAAAGTTTATAAAATTACAAAAACCAGAAGTCATAGTTGTGATGTCCAGAAATGTCCAGAAAGTTTGGACACAAGTGGTTACAAAAACTCAGCATGTTGAAGTAGTTGGTCCAAAATTTGAAACTATAGTCAAGAAGAAATGTTGTGAATGTGCACGCTGGCTCAGCATTTATTCAACAAATAAACAAAAAATTACTTTGTTTTTAAAAATGAACCTGGATGGAACGTTGTCAGCTCTGTTTTGTGACACATTTTATTCTTCAGGAAGAGATGAAACAGAAACAGATGTTAAAGAGACAAACGGCAGATGTTGATGAAATGTTTTGTGTGACGTTCTTCTCCAGGTGAGCAGCGCAGCGGACTGCCTGGCCTTCATGCAGGGCGGGTGTGAGCTGAAGAAGATCCGGCCCAACTCCAGGATCTACTGTCGTTTCTACACCTTGGACGTAGACCTGAGTTGTCTTCGCTGGGAGCCTTCGAAGAAGGATACGGACCGGGCTCGGCTGGATGTCTCCAGCATCCGGGAGGTCCGCACCGGAAAGAGCACCGAGACGTTCCTCCACAACAACCCTCTGTCTGAACAACTGGCCGAGGAAGCCGCCTTCTCCATTATTCATGGGGATGAGTACCAGGTAACCAGCCCGCTTCGTTAAAAAGTGTAGAAACGTCACCTTCCTTCACTAATTATCCATGTCTCCCTGCAGTCTTTGGACTTGGTTGCGTTGTCGGCGGATGTGGCTAACATCTGGGTGACGGGCCTGCGCTACCTTCTTGCCCACCCTTCAATCATCGGAGGTGCTGGGGGAGGTGGTGCAGGAGGAGGGCCAGGCGATGGAGGAGGTGTGTCGGTGGAAGGCAGCCTTGGGAGCAAGATGAGGAGCGAGTGGCTGGCAGCAGAGTTTGCACAGGTAGATGAAGACGGGTATGGGATCGTGACGGAGGACGTGGCCGTGGCTACGATCTGCGAACTGTGCCCCGGCATCAAGGAGGCCAAGGTACACTCGCTTCTACGCTTTATGATGCAAGTGTGCGCTTACTGGTTGTGTCAGAGTAAAATGGAACAGGCACAAGCAGTTTCTGAAATGGTGTGAACCCATTTCTCTGAACTCAACAGATTTTCACATTAATTTACTTTTTTGTATAATTTAAATTATTTTAGTTTTTTTTTCCTGCCATACCAAACAGCTGTTTAAAGAGAACAAGCAGTCCGCCAGTGTCCCCCATGACCGAGGGGTTTGAACCGTGAAGGTTTGTAGTTTTGGAGATGAGCGTTCTTGTGGACTGGAACTGAACGGGGTAGAAGAGTAAACCTAAATGTTTTTGGTGCAAGATGTTCAAAGAGGAGGAGTTAAACTGTGGAGAACAGAAGAAAGTGTTTTAAATTTATTTTTTGCTTGTCTGAGGCAGCACAGAGTGATGGATCCTGCAGAGTGGAGGGAGCCATTTTATCCAGCAGCAGGAGCAATGGTGGAGCCAGGGGGGGTCAGTGGTGGCCGTGGCCCTCATAGATAAATCTTCAGGCACCCAGTCATATAAGGAAACTATAAATGTTTTTGATTATTATTTATCATTAGACCTTTCAGCTGCTGGCACGTTGTGTGTTAGCTCTGTGGTGGAGGGTCTTCAGGTGTTGTGGGCCGGCATCATGACAGGAGCTCTGCAGCTTCTCTGTGTTTGTAAAGCAGAATTTGAAATGAACCTTGCTCTGCACAACACACAAACGAAGCGTGTTTCTGGACTCAGGCATGTGAAGATAACTGGCAGGGACTTTTTTTGTGAGATGATATCGTTGAGGATTGCTGCGTGCTCGGGCAGAGTGGAGATGAAATGATAAAGACGAGAGGAAAAAGACAGAGAACATGTTGAGAGAAGTTTAAAGAAGGGTGAGGTTATAAATCACAGAGCAGCTCTTTAATGGTCCACCTAAACTGACAGGTTTTAATATGAGCAGCAGCCAGTTAGCCAAAGCTGCAGAGCTTACAGCTCAGGTGGGACAATCTGTCCACAGGACAACTATAAGTCCACCTATCTGTCCTCTACGGGAGACTGGAAGAAGAAAGTCCCCGTTGGACTAAATCCAGAAGTGCTGTTTGGAGTTTAGTCAAAGCCAGGTCCAGTGCTCAGATCAGAGCAGAACTGAACCTTTGGCCTGAATGCAAAGTGTTAAAACTCTGCATGTCCCCCAGAACCAGCATGGTGGTGGCAGCACCATGGTGCGGGGAGGCTTTTCTTCAGCAGAAACCATGAAGCTGTTCAGAGTTCAGACATAAATCTAACAGGAACTGTAACAAAAGCTGCTTTTAAAAAGTGTTGACTCAGAGGGGCTGAATACAAATACACTTTACAGATTTTTATTAATTTATTTTAAAAGAGCTGACCTTCTTTTGAGCATTAAAGTCCTCTCCCCTGCCACTTTTTAAATCACGTCTTCAATCCGTCTCTTCTGCTTGACTGATGACGTCATCTTGGATGCTGACATTTTAATTTATTTTGTTTGAATTTATGTGTTCGTATTTGGTTTTATTATTGGGCTGTTTTTAGTTTTTATTATTGCACTCTGTTGCAGAGCGGACAGGGGGAATGGAAACACCCCCCGTCTGTTCGTGCACGTTGTGAGCATGAAAACTTGAAAGATGAGTGAGGTGCCGACTTGGTGTGTGGCTGCGTTGAGACAGAAGGAAGGTCACCGTTGAAAATTGGATTGCCATGTCAATATCCAAGATATACATATATATATATATATGTATATATCTATATATATATATATATATAAATGGAAAAATAAGTATATATATG